AAACCCCCATTTTATCGATTTTCGTGTGCTATAGTCCATTGATTTTTGGTGATTCAGAATTCATATGTCTTTTTTGTTCAAATTTTTCGTGGACGTCTATTAAGTCGTTACACGGCCAAAACGACCAATTTTCAAGGTCAAAGGAGTCCCGAAGCAGGTAAATTCCATTTTATCGATTTTCGTGTACTATAGTCCATATATTTTTGGTGATCTGTAATTCGACGTCATTTTTGCCCAATTTTATTTTGGACGTTCGTTAAGACATTATCTATAGAGCTAGTTAGCCCTGACGACCAAAACAACTCATTTTGAAGGTCAAATGATTCTCACAAGTAAACCCCTCATTTTGTCCATTTTTGTATGCTATAGTCTACGATAATGTTTGGTGATCCAGAATGTCGGCGTCCTTTTTTGTACAAATTTTTTGTGGATGTCTGTTAAGACGCTAGCTATGGATCTGATTGGCCCTCAGGGTCAAAACGACCCATTTTGAAGGTCAAACGAGCCCTAAAGCAAATAAATCCCTATTTTACCAATTTTCGTGTACTATAGTCCATGAATTTTTGGTGATCTAGAATTTCTATATCTTTTCATCCAAAATTTTGTGGACATCCGTTAAGTCGTTAGTTATTGAGGTAGTTGGCCCTGATGGCCAAAGAGGCCAATTTTCAAGGTCAAACGAGCCCCGAAGTAGATAAATCTCATTTTACCAATTTTCGTGTACTATAGGCCATATATTTTTAGTGATTCAGAATTCTGACGTCATTTTTGCCCAAATTTTTCATGGACGTCCGAGATGTTATCTACGAGTCAGTTGGCCCTAACTGTCAAAAATGACTCATTTTAAAGGTCAAACGAGCCCCGAAACAGGTAAACCCCTCATATTGGTGATTTTCGTATGATATAGTCCATGATTTTTTTTGAGATCTAAAATTTTTGTGGAAGCCCGTTAAGACATTACTTATGGAGCCAGTTTGCCCTAACAACCAAAACTACCTATTTTGAAGGTGAAACGAGCCCCAAAACAGGTAACCCCTCCCCCCCCCCCCCATTTTCCCAATTTTGTGTGCATAGTCCACAGATATTTGGTGATTCAGAATTTCGACGTCTCTTTTACCCATATTTTTTATGGACGTCCGTTAAGATGTTAGCTATGGAGACAGCTGGCCCTTACAGCCAAAACGACCTATTTTCAAGGTCAAACAAGCCCTGAATCAGATAAACCTCATTTTACCGATTTTCAAATACTATAGTTTATGAATTTTCGGTAATCCAAAAATGCGACGTTATTTTTGCTCAAATTTTTCGTGGATGTCCATGAAGAAGTTATCTATAAATTCAATTGGCCCTGACGGACAAAAAGACCTTTTTGAAGGTCAAACGAGCCTCAAAGCAGGTAAACCCCTAATTTTGCCAATTTTTGTGTATTATAATCCACGATCTTTTTCGGTGATCCAAAATTTTGACTCTTTTATTTGCCAAATTTTTTGTGAAATTCCGTTAAGATATTATCTATGGAGCCAGTTTGTTCTGACGACTAAAACGACCATTTTGAAAGTCAACTGAGCCCAGAGAAGGTGAATCCCCCATTTTTCAATTTTTCATCCATGGTTTTTTTATGATCCAGAATTTCGACATCTTTTTTTTCAAAATTATTCATAGACGTCAGTTAAAACGTTAGCTATAGATATAATTGGCCATGATGGACAAAATGACTTATTTTCAAGGTAAAATGAGCCCCGAAGTAGGTAAAACTCATTTTGCTAATTTTCGTGTACTATATAGTCTATGGGTTATTGGTGATCCGGAATTCTGACATTTTTTATTCTAATTTTTTTGTAGACCTATGCTAAGACGTTATCTATGGAGTCAGTTGGCCTAACGGCCAAAACTATCCATTTTGAAGGTCAAACGAGCTCCGGATCACGTAAACATTTCATTTTGTCGATTTTCATATGCTATAGCCCACGACCTTTTTGGCGATAAAGAATTCTGACGTCTTTTTTGCCTAAATTTTTTGTGGACGTTCATTATGATGTTAGCTATGGATCCAGTTGGCCTTGATGGTCAAAACGGCCCATTTTGATGGTCCAGTAAGCCCCAGAGCAAGTAAATCCCCCAAATTACCGATTTTAATGTGCTATAGTCCATGAATTTTGGTGATTCAGAATTTCAATGTCTTTTTTGTCCAAATTTTTCGTGGACGTCCGTAAAGTCAGTAGTTATAGAGCCAGTTGGACCTAATGGCCAAAAAAATATATTTTCAAGGTTAAACGATCCTAGAAGCAGGTAAATCTCATTTGCTGATTTTTGTGTATTATAGTCCATGAATTTTTGGTGGTTCGAATTCTGATGTCATTTTTGCCCAAAATTTCCTGGACATTCTTTAAAACATTATATATGGAGTCATTTGGCCCTGACGGCAAAAAAACTCATTTTAAAGGTCAAACGAGCCCCGAGCATGTAAACCTCTCATTGTGCTGATTTTCGTGTGTTATAGTCTATAATCGTTTTTAGTGATCCAATTCCAACGTCCTTTTTGTGAAAAAAATTATGGTCGCCCGTTAAGACGTTAGCTATGGATCCAGTTGGTCATGACAGTCAAAACAATCCGTTTTTAAGTATAAACGAGCTCCGAAGCAAGTAAACCCCTCATTTTGTTGATTTTTGTGAGCTATAGTCCATGAATTTTTTGTGATCCAAAATTTTGACGTCTGTTTTGCCCAAATTTTTTGTGGATTTCCGTGAAGACGTTAGCTATGGAGTCAGTTGTCCTAGAAGGCCAAAATGACCTATTTTTAAGGTCAAGCGAGCCCCGAAGCAGGTAAACCATATTTTGTCAATTTCCGGTGTATCATATATCATAGATTTTGGTAATCCATAATTTTAATGTCATTTTTGCCCAAATTTTTGGTGGACGTCCATTAAGACGTTATTATGGATTCTGTTGGCCCTGATGGCTAAAATAACTCATTTTGAAGGTCAAACGAGTCCAGAGTAGGCAAACCCCTCATTTTTATCGATTTTCATGTGTTATAGCCCATGATGTTTTTTGGTGATCCAGAATTTCGATGTCTATTTTGTCCAAATTTTTTGTGGACGTCCATTAAGACTTTAGCTATGGAGCTAGTTGGCCCTGCCGGACAAAACGATCCATTTTCAAGGTCAAACGAGCCTCGAAGCAAGTAAACCCCATTTTGTCAATTTTCGTATATTATAGTCTATGATTTTTTTGTGATCCGAAATTAAGACGTCATTTTTACCCAAATATCTAATTTTTTTGTGAACGTTCGTTAAGACGTTATCCATGGAGCCAATTGGCCTTGACGGCCAAAACGATCCATATTGAAGGTCAAACGAGCCCTGGAGCAATTAAACCCCCCATTCTATTGATTTTTTTTGTGTTATAGTTCACGGTCTTTTTTGGTAATCAAGAATTTCTACGTTTTTTTGCCCAAATTTTTGTGGATGTTTGTTAAGACGTTATCTATGGAGTCATTTGGACCTTACGGCCAAAACGGTCAATTTTGAAGGTCAAACGAGCCCCTGAGTAGGTAAACCCTCATTTTGCTGATTTTCATATGCTAGTCCATGGGTTTTTAATGATCCAGAATTTCGACGTCTTTTTTTTTCAATTTTTTCGTGGACATCTGTTAAGACATTAGCTATGGGGTTAGTTAGCCCTGATGACTAAAACGACCCATTTTCAAGGTAAAATGAGCCACGAAGCAAGAAAATTCATTTAGCTGATTTTCGTGTACTATAGTCCATGAATTTTTGGTGATTTAGAATTTCGACATCATTTTTGCCCAAAATTTTTGTGGACATCCGTTAGGACGTTATATATGAAGTCAGTTGACTGTGACAGACATAATGGCCCATTTTGAAGGTCAAACGAGCCTTAGAGCAGGTAAACCGTTCATTTTGCTAATTTTCATGTGCTATAATCCACGATTTTTTTGGTGATACATAATTCCTACGTTTTTTGCCCAATTTTTTTAGAATGTTCGTTAAGATGTTAGCTATGAAACGAGTTGGCTTAACAACTAAAATGTCCCATTTTGAAGATCAAACGAGCCTCCGGAGCAAGTAAAACCTCCATTTTCTCAATTTTCGTGTGTTATAGTCCATGAATTTTGGTGATCTAAAATTCCGACATCTTTTTTGTTCAAAATTTTCCTAGACTTTCGTTAAGTCGTTAGCTATGGAGCTAGTTGGTCTGACAGCCAAAACGGTTCATTTTCAAGGTCAAACGAGTCTCGAAGCAGGTAAACCTCATTTTACCGATTTTCGTGTACTATAGTCAATGGTTTTTTGGTAAACCAAAATTTGACTTTATTTTTGTCCAAAATTTTTGTGAACGTCCATTTAGACATCATTTATGGAGTCAGTTGGCCCTGACGGCCAAATCGTCTCATTTTGAAGGTCAAACAAATTACGGAGCAAGTAAACCCCTCATTTTATTTATTTGTGTGCTATAGTTCACAATTTTTTGGTGATTCAGAATTTCTACATCTTTTTTGCCCAATTTTTTAGTAGACGTCTATTAAGACATAAGCTATGGAACCATTTTGACGGCCAAAACAGCTCATTTTGAAGGACAAATGAGTCCCGAAACAGGTAAATCCCTCATTTTACCGATTTTTGTGTGCTTATAATCCATGAATATTTAAAAAATGGACTAATCAGATCTTTTAACCTAAACTTCAACTTAATCTCCACTAGGAACTAAACAATCTTTAACTCGTCTCCATTGTGTCTCGTGGAGTCCTATTAGATCTCTTAGTAAGCCCTTGTTGGCATATCAGGTGCCATTGAACACAGTCCAGGGAAAGCATCTATCTATAGTGATAGTGATCCATCGCCTTGACTTGAGTCTCCACCATATCTATGTCCTGTTGTCATGTAACATAACTTTTGGAGTTGTCTAATCATTTCGTAAGTTGGAATTTTCAACATGAAGTATATGAAAAATATAGTTAAAAGTACTCACAAGCAACTTCAAAAGCCAATATAATCATTCATCCACTTAAAGAAAAGTAGAAAATTCACCATCATTAAAGGTTTTTTGGTTCAGAAAAAACACCAACTCTCATAAGTGTCTTCAAATATGGCAAAGCAAAAGGGGATGCAAATACATAATGATGAAAAAACAAACTGAGTCTTGAACAACACTGCTCTTTTGAACTACTAATGGATCTCACAAATTTGTCTACCTATATGAATCTTGGCGCTTCGGTTTGCTTTGAACAATAGCTTCAATCTTCTCCATCACAGCAGGTGTTAACATTGGAATCACATTGATAGCTTTCATGTTCTCTTGAATCTGCATTAATGTAGACCAAACATGAGATACACCACGTAAAATTTGCTCGAATCCTAACAAATGTTGTTGAACCATATGTACTGCAATTTTGGAGGATCCGACATATGCCTAGGTTTTTTTTTAAAAGAGTCCAAGCAACATAGACTAATATTACTTTCTGTTTCATTTTTTATGACACTCTTTCCTTTCCAGTCTCTTCCGAAAATAATGACAGAGTTCATATGGTACTTATGTTATGCGCCTAAAGTCTTTTATTTCTTTCTTAAACGTTGTGCCTAGTCGAACATAGTCATATAAATGAAATGCAAAAAGTTAAGATTCTGTTCAGTCAAAACATTAGGAGAAAGTGAAAACAATGCAAAAAGAAGATTGTTAGTCTTTTTTTGCTCAGATGTCTATGGAAATAAGTTGAATCAGAAGAGATACAAAGTAGAAACAAAATCAAAATGAGTACATATTTCGAAACCAAAGCAAGAGGATTCTTCCTTTTAGTACTTTTTAACTTTGGATTCGGGTGCTGGTGGGGGTGCGGGTGGGGTTATGAGGGCTTAATACAGTTAGCGGACACGTAGAAAAACTCTAAAAGTAAGCTCAGAAAGGTATAAAAAGCAACATGTTTATCAAAAAAGAACGAGAAACTCCATGAATGCATGCTTTAATAACAGAAATAACACAGGCTGTACACTGGAATCTCAACTAATCCAGATTGATATCAGTTATTGAAGTGAGAGTTAACACTGAAGAAAAGAATTATTGTCTGAAAGGGAAAGCTCATGAAATGAATAACAGAATAAGGGAAAAACTAACGGACCTGATACTCTTTGGTGGCACCAGTAATAACAGATGAGACATTAGGATTTGCAGCACACCAGGCAATTGCCAGTTGAGGCAGAGGTACACCTAGTTCCTCAGCAATTGGTTTCAATCCATTTACTTTCCTCAGCACATCATCCACCAAGGATCTGCTGGCAAGATTCTGCAATGCATAAGATTACTAGTCAAGTTTCTTCAAAAAGGAGTAAGATTAAAAGAGTGGCAATTCCCAAAGAAAAGTTAACAAAATAACAAAGCATGCATATATATACGCATTAATACATGAAGTTTGATAAGCCCGCACATACATATATCTGATCTTACTTACACGGAAAACTTTAACTTTCGATTATTGGACTTTTGGTTCATCAATTTGGAAGCAACTCATAAAATAGAGACTTTTATAACATATGAACACAAATCATGACGAATAATAAAAGAATTCTGAATCCACTTGCCAATAGCACTTCCTTTTCTTGTAAGTGACTTTTATCTTATAGTTCTAGGTTGTAGCACATAAGAAAATGTAAAAACTTCTTTTTTTGATGTTCTAGACTAGAATTGTTAAGAAACAGGTTTAGGACATCCGCTCACAAACATTAAGAAGTAAGAAATATCTGCTTGTGTCCAAGTAAGGGAAGAATTTCTTTTGGCACACATATACCATCTACCATCCGTTTTCAATGAACGAAGATACTAGTTAAAATCACAAGAACTATTTGCTTGAAAGATCACTGAATGGTCTTAAATTTGGAGAACTTCAAACAGCTGACCACTCAATGAGCTGCTCAAAGAAATTTGCCATATATTTATTTAGGAAGCTGTAATATTTTACCATTTTTTAAAAAATAAAATAGGAAGCTGTGAACTAGGAATTAACAACGATCTAAGTGAATATAAGAAGAGCATTAACTTAAAAGACAATAGGAGTGGAAAAGTAGAGCTCCCAAACAAACGGGATTTTCTTGTAAAACTTTGAGGGTTCTACCTTGTAATTTTCCAGTGCAAATCGACTGTCTGGTGGAATGTTCCCTGAGGTATATTTTCCAGTCAGAACGCCTGAAGCGAGAGGACTCCATGTGGTAAGACCAATTCCATAGTTGCTATAGAGAGGGAGGTACTCAGATTCAACCTGCAACCATTCAATGAGGTCCATGTATTTTTAGAGTAAAGACACATGGCAAGTTGCAAACAGGGATAATGACATTGGAGCTACAAGCGAAGGCCAATGCACTAAAATCTGACAAGTTCAGGTAATGAAATTCATGTCAGCATAAAAAAATGGCAGTCAGCCAATATGTAGCAGCCAGCAACGTTGAACCACTCAACAAAAACAGCCTAAATCAATAACAGATCCTGAGGAAGAAGAAACAATGGACAACATTGGAGCTCCTACTGTCCTACACCATACTCAGAGTTGGAGTACACCTTCACAGAAATTTCTACAGTTGGCGACATGTTCAATGAAAGGCAACAGATTTTTTCCACATACAAACTAGACTTGCAATACCCTGAAAATCCTCCACTGAAGTTGTCACAACAGTACCTTGTACGTACAGCTGTAAAAGAATGCAGTTTTGCACTGAAAGGTTTAACTATAGAGAGACCTAGAGGATGTCAGGGAATATCTCTTTTTTTACCTCAAACACCTTGTCAACTAATTATCGCCATCAATCCACTCCGTCTATTTTTTTCATTTCACGTGTCCTATTTTGACATTGATTTGTAATATGCACCAGATCTAGCCTGTGCATTCATTCAGCAATTTATATGAAATGAAAGATTAATCTTCTATCTAGTTGAACATCTGCATATTCTACTACTCTTGGAATTAAGGAATCTATACTAACCATATTAAGAAAACAGAAGTTACTGTCACAGCATTTGCTCAACTAAGGCATCTGGTTAAGCTTCGGTTCTCAAAACCAACACAATACACAAAGGTACTATATTGGGAACTGTTGACAAATCGCCCTTACATTAATCAACAAGCATGGTGATTCCCAAACAAGTTGGGGTCGGCTGTATGAATCCCATCTCTTCATTAAAGCTCATTTATAACATCATCATACTAAAAACAACAAACCATAACACAACAACAACAATTTTGCATCATCCCCAAACAAGTTGGGATCGGCTGTATGAATTCAAGTTCTTCACTTTAAACTTATTTCATATCATCATCATACTAAAAACAACAATAAGTCATAACACAAGAACAACAACTATGCTTCCATCCCACATAAGTTGGGATTGGCTATCTGAACATCACTACTTCATATAAGCTCATTTCATATCATCATCATACTTGAAACAACAACAAACCATAACACAACAGCTATGCCTCAGTCCAAATAAGTTGAGATCAGCTATATGAATCCCATCTCTTCATTTAAGCTCATTTCATAACATCATCATACTCAAAAACAACAACAAACCATAACACAACAACAACAACAACAATAACGCCTCATCTCCAAATAAGTTGGATCGACTATATGAATCCGTCTTCTTCATTTAAGCTCATTTAATATCATCATCATCATCATCATCATACTTAAAAACTACAACAAACCATAACACAACAACAACAGTTATGCCTCAGCCTCAGCCCCAGGCTGTATGAATCCCATTTCTTCATTCTAAGATCATTTCATATCATCATACTAAAACATAAGCAACAAAAAACCATAATATAAACTAGAAACAATCTAAATCCAAGAAGCAGAGTCCAAAAAATTACCTTATGCCTAGACAACAAGTTATACTCAGGCTGCTCAACAATGGGACCAACAAGATCCAATCTTTGAGCAACCCCCCATGCTTCAGTAATCTGCTGAGCTGACCATTCACTTGTACCCCAATAAAAAGCCCACCCTTTATCAATCACATAGTTCATAGCCCTAACAGTTTCTTCAATAGGTGTACTTGTATCAGGCCTATGACAATAGATCAGATCTACATAATCCATATCAAGTCTCTTCAATGAAGCTTTTGTTCCTTCAATTATATGTTTTCTTGAAAGCCCTTTATCATTTGGACCAGAACCACCCCAAAATATCTTTGTTGACACAACAATGTCCGATCTTTTCCACCCAAGTTCACGAATCGCTTGACCCATGATTTCTTCTGCTCTGCCATTAGCATAAACCTCAGCATTATCAAAGAAATTGACACCATGGTCACGACAACACTGTAAAAGGGTTTTTGCTTCTTTAACATCAAGTTGATTTCCAAAGGTAACCCATGCTCCATAAGAGAGCTGTGATACCTTTAGACCTGATCTGCCTAAATTCTTGTATTGCATTTGCATTTTTTGAGGGAGATCAAGAATCAAGAAAAGGGGAAAAAGATTGGTCTTTTTAAGAGAATTTGTGATAGAGTTTAAGTTTCTTTGGTGTGTAGATTAGCTGTTTACACTTGGCATAATAAGTTGTTGGGACTGACAGTGAAACTATTGATCTAAGCACTGAAATTTGTTGTGATGTGACATATTACGTTACGTAATTACGTGTATATATTTATTTTAATGTGAATGAAATTATGATCGTGATGTTTGAATCAGCTTATGTATACATGTTTATTGTAGTTGTGATTTGATACGTTTTGATGATAAGAAATTATAATCGTGATATTCAAATCAGTTTGACTGTACATAGTGACGGATCTAGGATTTTAATATTGTGGGTGCTCTAAATGTAGCGGAGTGATGTGATGTTAGGTGGTGTTCGAGTTAGCTTGCGTAGTTGTGTGCATTTAATTGTTTAGATGTGACGCTGATTAATTACGAAATTATGATCGTAATGTTCGAATCAGTTTATGTATACATATTTATTGTTGTTGTGATTCGATACATTTGATAATAAAAAATTATAATTGTGGTGTTCAGATTAGTTTGAGCGTACATATTTATTGTGATATGATGCACTTTGATAATAGAAAATTATAATTATAATGTTTAAATCAGCTTATGTCTATACATTTGGCTTGATGTGACACACTTTATTAATTAAAAGAACTATAATTGTGGTGGTCGGGTAAACTTGTGTGTATACATTTGTTGTGATGTGATGCACTTTAATAATAAAAATTATAATTATGGTGTTCGAATCGGTTTGTGTGTGCACATTTTTTTATATGAGCTTATGTGTACGCATAAATATAAGATAACTCGATCCATCAAAGCTCGAATATGACAATGTTATGATTTGATTGAGTTGATCAAGTCAAAATGTGAATCAAAACTATGTATTCTGTATATTTTTAAAATATATACGGTAATTTAGATACTTTTTCTATTCACTTTTATTTATCACTTATTTCTAAAATAATTTTTTATTTTTACTTGTTACTTTTGACATATTAAGAAAAAATAATTATTCTTTTTTCACGTTTTACCCCAGCATTGATACTACATCCATATAATTTACCAAGATTCAATACTATATATGTATCGATAATTGTTTTCTTAATGAGTGTATCAAGTTAAATATTGACAAGTAAAGTTGAACGAAGAGAATAATAATTTTAAAATAAATAACGATAGATAATTTGTGACGGAGGATAGTATACTTGGCTCTTGTGACATAGGATTGTGATATGCATTGAAGTGTGGGGAATATTATTTAGCATATTTATGAGATTTAAGGTAGGTGAATCTTTTATTTTTTTAATTTCCTTTTTAGTTTATTACTACAATGACAGTATGAAGTACAAAGTTTCTGACCCTTTATATTTTTGTTCTTCTTTTGGTAGCAACATAATTATTCCATTGTGCAATTAATTTGTCTTCTATTCAAAATAAGTTTCTTTTTTTGTTATAATAGAAGAATTTTATTATAATAATTAAAGATCATTTATATAAAAAGAAACTGAATCGTATGAAACAGATCGATCAACATTTCTTTCAAGAGTATTAGTAACAAACGAAAGAGATGTTTGCTTTTGTTTGTATTTTTGATATCATGTAAACTATTTGGCTTTTTTCTTAAACAAAATTAAAATAATTATGCTAAGTCTAATTACAATTTTTCTTACTTTCTTTATAATAATGACAATTAACTTTTGAAAAAGAAAAAAACTAAATACAGTACTTGGGCTTGGCTCCTGGCTCATCCATCCTCTATTTGGGCTTGGACAACTAAAACTAATCCATGGGCCTGGTCTTGATTATTATGAAGCCCAACTTTTATTCCATCCCAAGCCCATTAATCCATTTTTGCCTCTATTAATGATCCACTTGAACCTGTTTGGATTACATCTCGACAAGAAGCAAGCCAAGAAGTACTTCACTATCCCATGCATGGGTTGAGTCGAGTTGAATTGAGTTCGACTTTAGTCTATTCCATTGTCAAACAAAGTTTGAGTCGAGCCTTATCAAACTTTATTACAACATTGAATCAAACTGAACTTAATTGAACTTTTACTAAAACTTAACCTAGCTAGGTCAAGCCTAGCCAAGAGGTATTTTTTATCACAAGTACCTAGGTACGAAAGAAAAAAGAAGTAATTGATCACTACTTAAAAAAAAATTAGTAAACGACGAATTCGATAATTAAACAACATAATTTCTCACTAGTTCTATTTCACATGAGATAATTACAAAATTTTATAAGCTATGATTTTTGTTTGATGGTCGATTAACGATAATATATAAAAGTTTTATACCATCAATTAAATGACCTACAATAACATGTAATTTCTTGTATGATATAATAATGTGAAATAAATCAAAGCATCAGGCGCTAACTTGTTATAATTAATTAAATACAATTTGAGATAAATTCTAATATTGACGATATATAAAACTTAAATTCGATATAATTAAGTCACTTGCCAACTACTTTATTCTTGATGTCATTTGCTGTGTCTTTGACTTTATCCCATGCACCTTTTTCTTCCTTTTCAGTTGCCTTTTCTAGTGCTGCTTTTGCCACCTCTGAGATTACCTAATTAATCAACATAACATTAATGAAATAATAATAATAATAATAAATTAAGAATTAACTAGAACAATTTTTATCGCTAAACAATAAATAAATCAATTCATTGCTAAGTTTATGTTAGATATATATGTTATATAATGATAAAATAAGATTTATCTTGTTATTGATCGAAATAGAATGATATTCAGAGATTAACGATAAATTTTATAGCTATATAAATAGTTAAAAAAAAAAGAGCTTACATTTCCAGCACTATCAGAAACAGTTTTTTTGACATATTCTCCCACACTTTTCACTTCTTTAGCTCCTTCTTTTACTGCTTCTGCTGCTTCTATTATCTTTTGACATGTCTCTTTATCAATCTTCATTAAAAAAAAATCCAAAATTTAAACCAAAAACAAGAAAATATTTATATGTGTATACAAAAAAAAACATTATTAATGTAATATTCAAGAAGAAAAACGAGTGTTCCAGGTTCAAATTTCAATAAAAGCATACAAATCATATACCATATAATATTATTTTTAATTATTTGTTTAAGTGATCTTAGTGAACAAAGTTACTCGATACTATTTATATTCGTAGAATTGTGCATAAGCTGAATCAGATAGTATGGTTATTTTAAAAAAGATAAAATGAATAAATTAAAGCTCGAATATTTACGTATATATTTAAACACGATTAATGCAATATATTCAAGAAGAAATATGAGTGTTTTAGGTTCAAACTTTAGTGATTAAGGCATACAAATATACTCAATGATATATCTTTTCTAACCGTGCGTTCAGATTTAATCGATCAAGTTACTCAATATCAATATTTATGCTAATGAAAAATCAATTAATCGACGTGCGTATAAGTTAGACTCGATAAACTAAACGAATAAAAACTCACTTTTTGAGAAGGTCTTGTGGCACTAACAAAGTCTCTATAGATCAATACATTTCCTGCAGGCACAATCATGAATCTAGTAGAAATACAATTGGACATGTTGGCTATAATTACTTTTAAATGAGCCATGTCTTTTTCTTCTTGATTTGCTATTTAATTTATTTCTCTTAAGACAATTATAATAATAATAATAATCTTTGATTAAAAGTTTTTACTTTTTTTTGTTTTTTGTTTTTTGTTTTCTTTCCTATGATATTGCTAGTAGTTGTATGTTGTAAATGTGAAGAAGCAAATCATGTACACAAGTGTCTCTTTTTGAGGTTTTTGTTGCTATAATGGAGAGAAAAGTTCTATGGTTAAGAACTAATCATGCTAATTAACTTGAAGAATCATAGCGTAAAACTTATCCGCATCAGGTGTTTATATCAAGTCAACAGCAATATGCTATGTGTTTAAATTTATATTTCATTTTATTTAATCATAATTAATTAATATGTGTTCTATTTCATTAAATCACATAATAACAAAAATTGTATTGACTTGATATAAACATCTGATACGAATAAATTTTTTCCTATTTTTTCTATCATCACAATTTTAACAATATCTCTTAACACAAATTAACCTTCTCTATGGTAAGGAATGATTTCTCTTACGTAGACTTTACGTGCATAAATTTAAATTAATCGGATCATTAAACTTCACATAATAATAATTATTATTTCTATGAAACTTTGGGTATATTTTCCTTTTATTGATCCCAAAGAGAGTCATGCAATTCTCTAATAGAAATTGTGTATAGGGAAATGTAAAATAGAGAATGCATGACTAATTAATTTCATCTACAATTGTTACAAGTGTTGATGAAAGAGTATGCATGAAGTTGCATGGCCAGCTTGAATTGCGTGATATAATAATTATAAACACAATAAATATACTATGAAATTTGTTTTTATTTATTTATTAATGAGTTGACATTTATAAAAACATTAATGATCTATTCTTTTCCTTCACCTAACTCTGACTATACTCTATAATGTTACTCTCGAGATGTTGTATATGGTTGAGTTTTAATGTTAACTTTTATATATATATCAGATTTATATGAATTCAATATTTTAAACGTATCTAAGAGAATAAATATAAAATTTAAATTATAAAATTAATATGTTTCAGGTCATACGTTTTTGAAAGTTTTATAGTTATACAATATTAAAATACATTTAATATGATCAATCAAAATTTTCAAAATTCTTTCATTTTTTTAAAAAAAATTATATTTAGTTCAAAGAGTATCTCATAAACTGAAACAAATGAAATAATTCATGAATTTTTTTATTTTTATAAATATATATTAAGAACTTCGAAACATAATCACTATTTTCATGAAATTTTTTCAGAGATAAATCTACCATAGCCATTTTTACAGATATTTTGATTTAATCTGTGAATTAGAAAATACTAATATTTTTTTAAAAAACAGAAAGTTTGTCAGTAGTTTACTGAAAATCTATTTCCATCATGCGTTTTTCAAATAAACTAATTCGATGAAAAATGAATAATTTTTTTTTTATTAATTAAAGATGAAAAAAAACTCGATATCTAGTAACATATTATAAATCTTTGAACCGGAGGGATGGAGGACAAGTACTATATTTATTGTCTTGTCCTTAATTACTCAATTGTCCCTCAAATGTATCTTTAAATAGACCTTTTGTCACAATTTTTTACATACCACAATTCACCAACCTTAGACTATTTTTTGTTTTGTTTGTTTTTGTGTGTGTAAGGAGATAGAAACATAAGTTTTTGGAGTAAACAAAATGGCAAATTGGTCCATAATATTCATATTTGCACTAGTACTAGTCCATGCCAATGCAAGAAATATTCCTGAGGTTCAAAATGTAAACACTAAGACTTTAAGTACTAATTCTCCAACACCAAGCAAAATTGGAGGACTTAATGACAACAAAAATTTTATAACATATGGTGGCATAGGTGGTTGTTCCGGAATTGGTGGAGTAGGTGGGGTGTTGCCAATACTTGGCGGTGCCGTTGGCGGCGTTGGTGGTGCCGCCGGTGGTGTTGGTGGAGTCGGTGGCGGTCTTGGTGGTGCCGGGTTCAAAGGGATTGGCGGCGGTGTTGGCGGTGCCGGAGGTGTTGGTGGTGGTGGACTAGGTGTTGGTGGTGGAATTGGTGGTTATAAAGGTGTAGGAGTTATTATTCCTTGAAGTGTTTTACTATATAGTGTTGGTTAATATTTTTATTTTGTTATTGCATGCATGTTATCCTAGTACTTGTGTTGTTTGAAGTGTCTAGTATTTAAATTTTATGTTTTTAATTAAAAGTGTTAGTATTACTATTATTTCCTAGATCATTGTGTTATCTAGTATTTTATTTCCAAGTTATTGTGTAATAATTAAGGATATAATAGTATAGTTTGCTTAATTAGATTGTGTTAATTATGTTCCCAATTTCATTGGGCTTGTTGGTTTAACTTGTTTTTTTTCCCAATAATTAATTCTATCCATTTCTAGTTTACTCTTTCAAGTTTTTAATAAATCATGAACGTAATCTTTAATGGATGTTATTAATAGATTCTCTTTTCAATGTCCGACGATATATTTGAGTCTTTTTTGTTATTTAAATATTTTTTCATTAAATTTCGAATTTATTTTGTGCGTTCTCAAATATTTTGTGCGTTCTCAAATATTGCTCATTATGTAAATAAGTTAACAACTCAAAGTGTATGACCTTACTTATTATACGTTTTCACCTCAGTGAACCATAAACACCTAAGCGTTTTCTGCTTAAGGATGATGTGTATTACTGAATGAGATGTGTTTTTTATGTGATAAGCTTATTTGAAATAAACATTGGACACATGAGAATATATACAACTTATTTTTTAAAATAAAGTTTTCAAAAAAAGTTTCTAATAAAAATACGTTTTATGAATTCGCTTGCTCAATTGAAATAAACTATACTTCAAAAGTATATATCTAAATGAAATTTTTTGTCAATGTTAGGATGCAAAAAGTATTAAGCCAAAACAATATCCTAAAAATATGAAAGATAAATCATAAGAGATGAGTCACACATAGTATATAATAAATATTAAATATCATTTTATTAATATCATTATTAATTATGTACATGTTCAATCTCTTAGGGAAATAATGGGTATTTATATTACAATTTTCCCATTCCATTCCCATAGAGACTATTAAACACTCCTTGATAATAAATTATAATTACTCCAATAGTACAAACTATATATTATACAACCTAATCCACATCTCACAAATTATATCTACCATATAGTAAAAAATAATTTGTTCATAACTTCATATATATATCACCTCCTTTTCACCACCTTAGCTTTGCTGGAAAATATTTCTCAATTAAAGACATATAATAAGGTTTTACTTCTTCCACATTAACATGAACTTTGCTTTTACTATACAAATCATATTTATTAAAAACATGAAGCCACTTCAAATTTTCTTCATCTTCATCATTCATTAAATGTTTATAACCTCCATTTTTATGCAATGGATAAAATGAATGATACCTTATAATAAAAAGTCCAGCTGATGGTAATGTTGTACCATTTTCTTTAGCAACCATGTACATATAATCATCATGACCCCATGACATCATGACATTTTCTAGTCCAATAGAATCATTATATATTCCATTTTTTGTGTTATAAATTGGGTTGTTGAAATCTTGATTTTCTTTAAAATATTTATGATGAATATTTGATTCATCAAATGCACATCCTAAAGGGAATGTGTCACCAACAACAGCCCATTGAGGTAAACCACCAAACTTAGGTAAAACTAATATTTTACCCAAATCATGAATTAAGGCTGTTAAGTGTAACCAATCTTCATTAGGATAATCTTTTCTAATTGCCTCAGCACTTTGTAATAAATGTTGAATTTGTGGTTCATCTAAATCAGGATCACTATCATCAACAACATCATTTAATAATTCACAACATTCCCATATGCTCATTTTTGCTTTGTCTAATTTTATGTAATCTTCTCTCATTTTCTTCACAAAATCATAGGTTTGATTTATATGTTGTGTTTTGTAGAATTTTTCTACCCCTTTTTGCCTTTCACTTTGTGCATTGTTGTAGTCCCTAAAATCATGTCCAAATGCATTTGTTTGAGGCACCATAAATTGGTCTTGGTCTTGGATTTTTTTTCCCTCTAGTTGGATAGTCATTTTTAATGATTAAAAAAAAAAGTGAAATAATTTGAAAAATCTGGCTCAGATTGTCAACTGGACCTTAATTTTTACTCACGATATTGTTACAGATAGAACTACAACAAAGAACACAAATCTCAAATTTGAGAATAATTGAAAGTAATTAAAGCAAAGCAAAGAGGGATAGGATAGGTTAGGATAGGATAATTAATATAGTAAATAAGATAAAAATAATAATTTGATTTTGATGGGATACTTGGGTAAAAAAATATAAAAATTTCAAGTATTTATAAGTGTTGGTAATTAAAGTCATTCCTTAAAAATCTCTAACTAGATATTATTTTCACCTCCCATTTTTTCTTTTGTTATAATAATTCTATTTTTATTTATGCTTATTATTATCAACTTGACAAATGTTTAGTTTGGATACTAAATTATACTAGAGGATAAGAACAAAATATAGTTTGAGGTTTGGGGATAATGTGGATTTGCCCATGTAAATAGGTGTTTAGTTTTAATCAAATAATATTTTAACAAATTGTCAATATTTATATTAATATCCCTTAAATATATGAAAAATCATTTTATATATGCCATAGTGAGTCATTACCATGTTTAATGTAACATGCCCTTTTTGAGTACAATTGTCATAAAATATATATATTTGTTAGCTGTTATAATAATTTGAATGATCTGTCTATATTTTTAATTTTTGGTAATTCGATGTTCTATTTGAAATTACATAATTTTATAATAAGATTCGATGTGGATTTCATCTTACTTAAATATTTCGACTTTTACTTTTTTTGTGTGTAGATTTTAATTTGCAATTCTTGAAAAATCATATTGCACCACTTATTGTACATGATCATTTCTAGGGTCAGCACTATTATAGATAAAGCTTAAAGTCATTGAAAAATATGATTTCAAATAATATAAGATAGAAATACCTCCATCATTATGTATGGTTACTTTCACATAACAAATTTTTGCCCTCCATTATGAAAACCTAATCTATATATTTATTTCCTTATGCCAATCAGTGAAATTGTTTGAAGATCATATCAAAAGATTTGTTCTTATATTATTAATTACCCGAATTGGGAGTTTATTTATATTTTTCTGCATGTCCAGACCTGTCGATTGGAACGTAGATTATAATATATATGGAACTGGCTCAACATAAAACTATTTAAACGAAAAGTTAAAATTGATCTAAATCTGATACTACGATAAAGAAATGCATCTCAGATCTAACTAAATTTAAAAAATTAATTCATTACGTAAAGATTGTTCAAGATCATATGTGGAGACTAATGATCAATATCATTTAATGGATAACATAATTAAATGATCGTAAACAGGTGTGGTGGGATAGATGTGATCCTTCAGAGGTCTCGAGCCTTGAAAAAAAAGAGAAAATTACGATTGAAAATGTTTTTTTAATGAATTTTATGGGACATGAAATTGAATTAGTCAAATTAGTAAACAACAAAAGTCAACCTCTTTTAGTGTATTCATTTCAACCCATAAAAAATTGGGCTAATATGTGATCCAAATAATTAATCCATGAGAAATCTTATTTAAAAAAAATATTTTAAAAGACATTTTGCTTTATTTGGTATATCATATATACAACCATATTAAAGGGAAAAACATATTTTCGTTAGGTACTAAAAATTCATAAAAAAATCAAACAAAGAAATTAAAATTTAGGAGGAATTGAGGGGATCTGTTTATAACTTTAATATGCTCATATATTAACTCAATCTATTTTAATCTGTCAATAATACGTCTATTTAAAATCTCTAATATCATATCTATGTAATTCAAAAAAAGTAATCATAAATATCACGATGACCAATTATTAAAATCTTGAACAATATTATAGGATCAGCATGCTTGTTACATCAATTAAAGACGTGGAGATTTTAGTATATATAAATGTTCAATCACTAGTCATTAAACGCAGCTAATCGATCCTTAGGATAAAAAGGAAACTTTATTATAGTGCTTGGCCATGATTCATATTTATCACGTACGGAGGCGAAATTAAGAATTCATAAATATTTATAAATATTTAAAATTTAAAGTCTTAGATTCGACTTTAGTAACAAAGCTTATATTAAAGTTACGCAAATAATTTTGACTTAATATTTTAATATTTATTCAATTCAATATATAATTTTTTCTTTTATAAACTTAAGATTTTGAATAAATCACGATTAGTCCGAATGTTTTTTTGCACAGTAAAATCACACAAAGGTCTAATCAGAAAAAATGCACACATTAAACTATGCTAGTTATTTACCTAAATTTTTGGGATATTGTTTTTGAGTTTTCTATAAAAATATTTCTTTTTTTTATTCTTTATCTTATATCTTTAGCCTATCGATTATGCATAACTAGGAATAGGACCATGAAAGCAACGACCATACTTGAATAAAACAAAAAAAATAAAATCAACAAGAGTTTGATCATAATTTTTTTTTAGTTAAAGTTAAATTTCGCAAAATTAAACATATTTAAATTAAAATACTAGAATTTACTTTAGAAATTTTAAGAATTTCAAAGACATCAAAAAGTTATTTCACTTTACGTGCACTAATTCACCCATTATTAATGCTTCAAAAAAGTACTACAAATTTAAGTGACCAAACCATGAGGTGCTAATCGCATATTCTACTTTTCTTAAAGGGGTTTCGTAGTAAAATTAAAAAAAATCAATACTATTACTATTAGCATGACTAATTCCAAATACTTTTTTAAAAAAAAATTATACGTGTTCAAGTAACTTATACACATTTAACTGACTATACTAGTTTATCATCTTCGATCTATCACAAGTATAGACGTGAGTTAATTTTGTCCATCAAGATTTAGATAACTAGAAAAAGTTATATATTTTTTTGTCCTAATTATTTATATGACATTTTCCTTTTGAAGTGGTTTGGGTTTGGGACTTCTATGTTAGAGGTTTCAAGTTCGAAATCCCTCGCCAGCGTAAAAGCAAGGAGTTCTTATGGATCGAGCTCGTCGCATCGAATTTACCTAGTGCGAGTTACCTCTCCTATGTGATTTGTGAGCTATTGCAAAGGAGTGGAGATATTATCCTATGCATTCCCAAAATGATAGCGAATGCGTGTTTCCCTTGTCATAAAAAGAAAATAATGACACTTTTTTATTTGACAAATACACTATCTAACATTTTATCCATATTGGGTCCCACTTATTTGACAAAAAGTCCATTAAATATACTCATATTAAGTATAATTTTGAAACATTTTAAAATATTTTCATATTTTTTAAACGCTATATCAGTCAAACTCTATACATCATATAAATTGAGATGAAAAAAAATCATATTTTAGACGCAACTTGATTAAATCTAGAGGGATCATCTTCCACCTCCCATAAACATAATTATCGAGTAACTCTATCAATAACTTTTTAAATCCGCTTTATTAACCACCAAGTCAGTCTATCAAATCCTAACTATTTCAAATACATGAAAAATATTATTTTCATATTCATGGTACACCACTTTACCATAAAGGAATATAATCATGTAGCTAGTTGCCTATATCTATATATAGCCACTACAACTTCAATTTTTTTCATAACCATTCATTCATAATATATATATTACAACTACATAGTTTATCACACACACAAAAAAAAAATCATGAGGCCACACAACATTTTTCTCCTCATATTAGGCCTTGCTACTTACATTACTTTCATTTCTTTAAAACAACAACCTCATCATTATAACCACTACTACTATTTTGGTAACAACATCTATAACATCCACATTATCAATGGCTTCACCAACAATTCATCTCTCCCATTGATAGTATGGTGCTCGTCCGATGATGACTCCGGTGACATCGGGGGACGTGCCCTCCAAGAACGCGATGATTTTAGTTGGAGTGTCGAAACGAAATTTTGGAAGAACACTATGTACTTGTGTACAATGAAATTGGATCAAAAAAGGAGGAAATTTCAAGCATTTCATGGAAATAGAGATGTTCAAAGGTGCAATCCTACTAAGCATTGTTTTTGGTTGGTCAAAGAAGATGGTTTTTATTTTAGTAATGATGAAATATATTGGCAAAAAGATTTTTCTTGGATTTAAGTGATCTTGAGATGTATTTTTGTTAGTCTATTTTTTTCCCCCTCATCATGACGAGAGGTTATGTTTTTCGAATGAGTTTAACTTATATATATCGAGAATATATTCAGTTTTGCGATTGAGTGTTGTTACGCCAAATTTTTGAAAACTAAACTTTAAATTATTTGATCAAAATTCACAAGATATTTCTTTGTTACTTACCTTAGTCTTTTTCTATAAATTCAATCTCTTTCTAATATTTCATTTTGTTATATATATGATGACTAATCCTTTTTTTTAATTTTGGTCCTTGTGCTCTTTATGTTTTTAACTCATGCGAAGCACTATATATATGTACGTCAAGGACATTTTATCATGATAATAAAAATAGAAGTCATTTACTTGAAAAATGATTATTATATAAAAATGTATATTTTAATTAGATGACGAGTGAAAAAAGATACATACTAGTGGTTAGGGTATAAATTGACACCCTTTTGTTGAAAAATCACATTCCACATAAATTAATAATTTTTTCTATCATATATATATATACTATATGTTAAAATCTATCGACCTATTTCTGCATGCTTGCTTACTTATTTATATTTTGCGGTTCTAACACTTCCTATTAAAAATTTTAGCTTCATCGTGATCATGCACTCTCTGATTTTGTCAATTTTGTGTAATATTTTATAGTTCAAGTTTGTATGACACGAATAAAAATATATTATTTTATAGTTTAATCATCTTTCATGTGAGAAATTTTAATAACTCAATTGATCAAATAATAGAACTTTTAATTTTGTTAGTCTAATAATAATAATTTTTTTTAAAAAAATAAAATAATCGTCTGTTATTTCAACCATCTCTTGTGCTCTCCACTTCAATTAGTTTCTAATTTTAGACTAAACTTTTTCTTAAAGTTTTAGTGTAAGATGGGACATAATGATCACATCCAACTTTTCAAAATAATTTTTTTTTAAAAATAATGTATATCAAAATAGTTAATTAAGACATGTAGATTGAAATGCGGCTATGTATATAAAATTATAAAATTAAAAGTTAGCCAAAAAGAAAAAAAAAGATTTTTTTTTGTTCCACTAATAATAAAATGATAAGATAGTGCGTTTGCCCATTTAAGAAATTAGGTTAGGAAAAAAATTCTTAATGAATCATCCAAAATTGAACACCATTTTTAGTGGTGTCTCTTGTCATTTTCAAAAATTTGATAGCAACAAAGTGTAAAGTGTGTATAGGCATGGTTTTTTTTTACAAGTGTATCGATCTGTTGTCATAATTCATTTTAAAACGAGTTTGAATTTCGATCGGTAGGGTTTAAAGGTTAATTTAAATTTTAAGTTACTGTTTATCATGTATCATGAAAAGAAAAAATGACAGTGAAGAAAATATAGCAACTGATTAGTTATTTGCATCTTCTGAACATTATATTTCTTCGTCGGTACTTTGCAAAATTTACCTTTAAGTTTTGATGGTACCTTTTTGTTACACAAGACTTCGAATGCCGCAAGCCTACTCTTCGTCCATACACACCAATTCGATGTAAGACATCATCGTCGATATCTCTACTTTCTTGATATAAAGAGTCAAGATATATACTTGAAACTATCTCTCTTGTGAATAACTTATGTGTTAATTCTTATTTCCACGCATGCCTCATGTATTTCATCATTGAATTAACGCTTCAAATACTGTGTTTTTATCAAAATTCTTTGAACTTCAGAGTATATCGCTACACCTTCAATAAACAAACCATTTTTCAAGCTAAACAACTAGCCTATGATAGCATTAGGATAGGATCTTTGTGGGACTCAATGAATCAAGTTTTTTAATTGAGCTAAAGTTGCAAAATTTTCTTTTGGATATATAATATATATATATATATATCCAAAAATAATATTATATTTAAATATATCTAAAATATGATATCATATTTTCATCAAATTGCCAGTTATAAAGTATAGATGCATTCCATTTAATAAACTAAAAAGAAAACAAAAGACAACAATTTTTGTTTGTATCTCTAATGGTGTAAATTTAAACTCCTAAAGCTTTTGTTTTGCAACTTGTCCCATTTATTTAGTCCAGTTAATAATTGATTTTTCGTAGTGCTTTGTTTTTAAGTCATGATAATCTTATTTAATTAAGGAAATTAATTAATTAATTGACACCATCGTTTTGTCCCTTCTCAATCATTGAACCAGACAACGAATTCATCTGAATTCAGTATTTTTTTTTATATGTCAAATTCCACCAAAATTTTAGAACTATTGTCTTCGATCTTATAATCGTAAAAGTATAATAAGTTTGAGTAATAAAAACTCTAAAAGTCGAATTTATCAAATTTAAATATTAAATCCGTCTCCAAATCGAACTTCTCCCAAGTTGTGCAATTACCTTTCAAATTGTGTTAAAGCCAAAAACTTTATGAACTTATGCATCACCAAAGTAGCTATTTTAGTTCTTTTTTTAATTGATCTTGATAAGTAAAACATGCAAATGCTTTCTGTCAACAGCTACCATATTCCACAAAGATATATACAACTTTAATTTAGTTTTATGTCACTTGTAAGTTGTAATTTGTCCTATATTAATTTAGAAAAAAAAAATGAGCTATAGGTTTATGATTGCAAAAAGGTATTCTTAATTAGTTAACTATTGCTTTAATAACCTATAGTATAATTGAGGAGTAGGGTTGGTAAAATGGTTTAAGAATAAGTAATCGTTTTGATTAATTTCATTAGATATATATCGTGTCAATATGTAAAATATATACATAAACATATTTTTATTTTTTGGGAGTCTAGTTTACTTTGACTTTTAGCTTGTATAAATATTAGAACCAACTTGCTTTGTTTAATAGGATTTTGAGAGACGTCTTCACTTTTTCTTGTCAACTTACTCAGTGATGTATGTAGAAATATTTACAAGCTATGTTGCTCGAATTTTTTAAAAATAATGTCCGGTGTATGTCAGATCCTTCAAAAGCTATGTATTTTTGGAGGATCAGACAGAGTAACGTGAGATATTATTTACATTTTGAGAAACATGTGGTAATTCTATTATTCAACTGTAGAATACAATACAAGAGCTAATACTAGAAAGCATATCAGTCTTCGCGCTATTTATATATTTAACTTATGTTGTTCGAACTCTTCAAGAATGCCACCAGATGCATGTTGAATACTTCAAAACTAGTACATGTTTTGCGAATCGGACACGGGTGATGTAACATTTTTGAAGAGTCCGAGCAACATAACATAATACATTATGTTTCTGTCATAGGGAGATCAACTTTGAGACAAGATGAAGTTACCTTCTTGCTCATCAGACTCCATCAACATTGACACAACTTCGCGCATTGAAGGGCGATCAGCCGGGGACAAACAAGTGCAGACTAGACCAATTTTCAGGACTGTAAGCATGTGACTAACAGCAGTTTTATCTGTCAAATCCAATCGGATATCGAGTACCCCTGGTGTCAACGAATTGTCTCGAATAAAATGCCTCACATAAGTGACAAGATCACCTCCTTGATCGAGTGGCTGCACCGGTGTTCTTCCTGTTAGCAACTCCAAAAGGACTACTCCGTAACTATAGATATCACATTTTTCTGTTACCTTCATGGTGTAAGCATATTCTGCAATGGGAAAAACAGAACCGTTAAACTAAGTAGACGCGTCTCCTTGCTCTCTTCAAATGGTATTACCCTTATTTCATGTAGTTTCTAGCTTTTGGTATATCTATTATCATCTGTTGTTTACTATGTTTAGGTGATCGCATTATGTTGTTGATGTTACTATTCCTTGCATGTATACTCTGTACTCTTTTCTACTAGTTGTATTGTTCTCTTCGTTTCACTTGAGTCGAGAGTCTTTTGGAAACAGATTCTACCTCTACGAGGTAGGGGTTAGGTCTGTGGACACTCTACTCTTTCCAGACCACACTTTGTGAAATTTCACTGGGTATGTTGTTGTTATTGAGTATAACAAAAGAAGCAAAAACGTTCACCAAGGAAACACAAACACTAGTACTATTTGCTAGTCAAAGTGTGAGGAAAACTAACACACACTAGTCAGCTCAGAGGAGGAACTATACGTGAGATTTTTCGTGTACATGCACTGGATTTCGGCGAAGAGTTATAATCATTGCTTATGTATAATATATATTAGTGTTGAGCATTAATCTAGACGGTCATATGTTTCTTGACATTATTAGCAGACAGTAGACGGGCTATACTACGGAAGTCTCTCATGAAAAAATAATGAAATGTACGTACCAGGAGCTATGTAGCCATATGATCCTGCAATTGCAGACATCGACTTAGTTTGAGGCATGTCGATAACTTTAGCAAGACCAAAATCACCAACATGAGCTTCCAACTTCTCATCGAGCAAAATATTGTTTGACTTTATATCGCGGTGGATGATCTGTGGTTTGCAATCATGATGTAAGTAAGAAAGTCCTTCAGCTGCCCCAAGAGCTATCATAAAGCGTTGAGGCCAATCCAAGCCACAAGATGCACCGTGAAGCAATTCACCCAAGCTACCTTTTTCCATGTACTCGTAAAGAAGCAGATTAGAACCTTGATGATAGCAAAAGCCATACAGTTTTACAATGTTACGATGCCTAATCTTTCCGAGAGTTGAAATCTCTGCTCGGAAACTCTTTTCTATGTTATTACCCTCTCTGTTAGAAGCCAGCTTCTTAACAGCGATTTTTCGTCCAGATTGCATGACTGCTTTGTATACCGTCCCAACAGCTCCTCTTCCTACAACATAACTGTCTTGAAAATTGTTTGTAGCCTCAACTAAGTCTTGGAAAGTGAACTCCTCTTCGGGAGGGAAATATATGTCCGAAGCTGGAAATGACATGTCCTTATCTTTCACTGATGCAACCATCTGATCAACTGGTTTCCGCTTCATCACATACAAAATTACCATAATCAAAACAAGAAAGACACCACTACCAACAGCCACAACAACAATAACAATCTTCTCTCTTGGACCACCTGCATTTTTGGTTGGAGGATCAGAATTAAACGGAGGAGATTCTTTACATCCACCTAAACGACCACCACAAAGCCCATTGTTTCCAATAAAGCTGCTGACATCCATATTCTGAAAGAGTGGTAAATTAGGCAATGGTCCAGTGAGGTTATTGTATGAAAAGTTACAGCTCAT